ATGCTAGAATACAAGCTTAAGTTGCAGTATGATACCGTGTGTTCTACATAAATGACAGCTACTCGTTCAAAGTCTCAGACTTTTATAAATAAACAAGGAGTCCAAGAGGAGTCAGATTGTCCTGATACATGAAGCAGCCTTAGGTATTTTGGTGAATTATGTTCACCACCATCTGTGAAGCAGACCACATCACTTACCTCAGTTTCCCTTAAATCTCTTCTAGACTTCTGAAAGTGACTTTGACATTGTTTCTGTGTTCTTTCTGCCCACCTCTCTGCAGTGTATTTGCAGTGTACCCCAGGCTTCAAGCATAGCAGGGCAACTAACAGCCAGCTATTTCTCCTGGTTCTTCTCTTCTGACACCTGTGAATCCGTTTTCCTCTCTTCATGATAGCAACAAACAGTTTACAGATCTTACCCTTAGAAGGACTTGACTTTAAAAAAAAAAAGTGAAGTGGATTGCAGTAAGGCAGGCAAATAGTAATAACAGTGTGTCCCTGTGAGCTGACAGATTTTTAGTTCTTTCTGAAGGTTGTTCCCAGGATAGATGTGCTGTCTATGTTAAATAGGCTCAAGAGCCTAAATGCTGTAACTCCTCTATTAAAATGTTGCAAAATACACAAACAAGTAATGATACTACTAACTTTGCTTCCCTTCCCCATTTTTGCCTTCTGCAGATTTGTTGAATGTATAGAGTGTGGAAGAAAAATGCACCAGATCTGTGTTCTTCATAATGAGATAATCTGGCCTTCTGGGTGAGGAATTTCTCCTTAAGTAAAGAGTATATGATAGATTAGCTTACTAGAGGTTGTGCATAAACTTCCTTTATTGGTTATATTTAAGAAGTTGCATTCCCACCTGAAAATTTTACAGAATATATGGAGTAACATTAAGTTTAGGCATCATATCTTACTGTGTTCTATGAGAAGTTATTTCTAATCTTAAATGTTTCTAACATTCCTTTGCGTGAAAGAGGGCCTTTCAGCCTTATTTTTCAGCCCTTTACGATTAGAGATACTAGTCCTTCATGAAAAGATGTTTTTAGTTTTGGTAACAATTTCATACTGATCTATTTTGTGTACAAATCGTATTGCTTTGTCATCTTCAAAAAATTTTGTAACAGCTAAAGAATTCTAACAGGTGAATTCACTTTTTTGACCTCAGTGATGAGATAGTCTGAAAAACAATCTAGTCATCTTTACATACTCAGTAGTTCTTGATAAAAATACTGGCTTTTTTCTGATTGCTTTAAAAGCATTTTTTATAAAAAGAGGATAAATTATATGTAGGTAAAGCTCTGTAAGAGCCTAGATGTTCCCTTTCTCGACAAGAAAAAAAAAAAAAAGCTATGAGTTTTACTACTCTGTTGTCCCATCCACATTGCTGCAGAAGAGAGTAGACATCCTATAACTGAGGAATAATCTGCCCATCATTTTATGCTACAGTATACTTGGACATTTAGAAAAAATAATCAGCCTTTTGCTTTATGTGTCATGGTATCTTGTCTTCAACAGAGACAGCAGTTTGAGACTATTTCTTCCAAGAATACTTTAAGCCAATGTTGTTAGAGTTGTTGGTGGAGACCCTGTTTCCTGGGCGTGCAGTTGGTGACATGGGTGACTGACAGGAGATGCACCCCTTGGAGCTTAGATCCTCCTCTGCAGCTCTGAAACAGTTGAGCTGTTTCTGCTGGCACTGTTCTTTGTGCTGTCTTTTATTTCAAATTTCAGTTAAGGCATTTCCAGACCAGATAAGATCTGGTGAGAGATTTTGCTTCTAATGATGAGATGCTAAGGAACTTCACAGTCTGACTTGGTGTGGTTTTTCACTTTTTCCTTTTTTTTTTGCTTCAGCTTTGTCTGTGATGGCTGCCTAAAGAAAACAGGACGAACCAGGAAAGAGAATAAGTTCTCTGCTAAAAGTAAGATTCTGACAGTTGCACCAACAAATCTTAAATAATTTGTTAAGAATGGGGAAGAGGTGGATTTTATGCTTATTTTGCATTTATTTCAATTTTTTTAGTTAAAGGAGGATACTTTTGTTCAGTTCTGAACATCAGTTCTGTGATGTTCAGAATGTTTCCATTCACAGGTGTTGTTGTTGGTTAGTTGTTGTAGAGGGTTAATGTACTGTTTTAGAGCACTGCTATTGTAAGATGCACGTCCTGTATTCTCAATTGCAATATTAATAGCATTGGGAAATAGTTGCTATGTGATGGCAGTCTAACTTAAGTTTATGATAACATGTTCAAGTCACAGTGACTACTGCTGCTCTTTAAAGCTTTGGAGATAAAGGTTGCGTTGTGTGGTGACAAAATTTTCTATAGACATTTCCTCTTGATCAAGGCAGCTGATTTGAAAGCAGTGTAGGAGGAAATTTGTGCAGTCACTGTCCATCTATTCTATAGACAAAACAAGTCTGTCAGAAGCTTCTTAGGTTGGTGGGCTACTTACAAATGTGAGTATTTGTTTCTGCTTAAAAAAAGGGAAATCAAATCCCCAGCCAACCAACGATAGCATCAGGATTGCAACAAATATTAACTGTAGTGTTAAACAGTTACCTTGTAAGGCCCTTCATTGGAAAAAGAGGAAGAACATCAAAGACTGTAAATTGTCTTGAAACTTGGGGGTTGGCTTACAATTCAGTCACAAAAAGTCTTCTCTTCAACTGTTCTTATGAAGTGGAAAGTAAACGACTCAATGAATGGTTTCAACATCTGAGTCTTTTTCCAAAATCAAAACTTCCTAGATCTACCAAGAATACAGGAAGAATATAAGGCTTCTTTTAGAGTTTTTATCACCTTTTGTTTCTGGCAACCTCTGTGTATTGCATACTTAACATAGTATGGTGATGCTTTATGGAAAGGTGTCAAATTGGAAAAATGCAAAGCTGATTGGCAGATACGTAATTCTCCAAGTAATGGACAGCAATGAGACAGGCTCTGTTAACACCAAAAGTCTTAAACTACCTTTCAGCTTTAGGTTTTGTGTCAGCTAGCATTGTGCTTCTACTTTCTTTTTGTATGAAGATTGTTTGAAAATTAGAAACTTCTAAACTATGTTACTTGCAGATACAGTTGTACTTAGTTGTTCTTTCCATTATTGAAATATATTATTTTGGCAAGTGGAGATACTAACTTGGCTAGTATGGCTTTATAGACAGAATATACTTCCAAATGCAGTATTTGCTCTTGGAGCTATGTCTGAAAATAGTGTTTTGTAATCCAGTTAAAGTAATCAATAGCTTCTATTCAGGAGGAGCCTTAATTGTGATTGTCTTCTAAGACAGGTATGAATTGGGTTGAAATACAGATTCTTTCTTCACTTAAATAACGTATAAACCATAAGTGTCCTGCAGGCGAAAAGCAGCTCACCCCATCTAGGGTTGTTAGTGTTTAAAGATAAAGCTGTAGTCTATGATAACATACTGCATGCATTGAGAGTCATTTTTCATTTGACAACTGAATAGAGAACTAGCATTTGAACAGTTCAGTTTTGTATATATTTAGAGCTGTATTTTTCTCCTGCAGGGTTACCAGCTACAAGACTTGGTACCTTCTTGGAGAACAGAGTCAATGATTTCCTAAGAAGACAGAATCACCCTGAGGCAGGGGAGGTTACAGTTAGGGTGGTACATGCATCTGACAAAACTGTTGAAGTGAAACCAGGAATGAAAGCAAGGTATGTTCTTTCCATTTCTGATTTTGCTTTCTTTTGGGGGAGGTGGGAGCTATTTGAATTAACTTACATGCTGCTATTTCAAAAAAATACTGTTGTATTCAAAACCTCACCACTGACCAGTTCCTGACAAACAGGTGTTACAGCAGCATACTAATTAGTTGTGATGAGTGTCATCTCTTTCATAGTAAAAGTGGATGCCTTGTATTTGAGTAGTCTGTAAGCATTTAACTTTAAAATTACACTTATAATAGCGCTCATCATTGTTGCCTTTACCTAGTGACAGGTGTTCTCCTAACACGTGAATATGTTTGGTGTTCCTCTTCACCCTCTGTAATCTGCAGGTTTGTAGACAGCGGAGAGATGGCGGAGTCTTTCCCCTATCGAACAAAAGCGCTTTTTGCCTTTGAGGAGATTGATGGTGTAGACTTGTGCTTCTTTGGGATGCATGTACAGGAGTATGGCTCAGACTGTCCTCCACCCAATCAAAGGTGAGAAGCTGCATGAAAGTTTATTTTATTTTGGTAGTGTCTCAATTGGGTGAACATTCTGAAGTTCTGTATAGAGCTTCAGTGTTGCATATGTGAAGACTCTTAGTGCTCTTAGCTTCTAGAAAAAGTAGCTTCTGTAGGGAGTATGTCAGTCAAAGTAACTTCTTAACTGGGGATACTGGCTGGCAGACAGTGTTGCCTCAAAAATAATTTGTCAGCATTCTCAAGGAAAGTATTAGATAGTTTTAGAGAGATGAGGCTAGGATATCAAAAGAAAGCTTATTTTCTAGAGGTAAATTAGGATCGGAGGCTTTGAAGATTGCTGTTGTATTCGATGCTTTAATTGTCTAAAATAATGTGAATAAACTTGTAAAACTACTTTGAAATCTCTGCTTCTCATAATGCCTTTTTTTTTTTCTTCAGGCGAGTGTATATATCTTACCTTGACAGCGTTCATTTCTTCCGCCCTAAATGCTTGAGGACTGCTGTCTATCACGAAATACTGATTGGTTATCTAGAATACGTCAAGAAACTAGGGTAAGTCTTTTTTAATGTTTTCTTCTGTGTAGCATTTGTGCTGGGTAGTTCTTATTGCAAATTAAATTACTACATCCTTTTGTGCAGAACATGGTGCCTAAATATCAACTGCTGACAGAATAACTTGGCAACAACTGTGTATAGTTGAAAAGGGGAAAAGACAAAAGGAGGTTGCAGGCTTTTGAGGAGACACTCATGCTTCAGCTTTTTTTAGGTTTTCAAACTTATGTAAAACTTCATTAAGTCTAAGTAGAAAAAGTAAGCCTTTTTAGCTGGACCATGAAATTTTGCTGGCCTTGTTGATAGTGTGGTCCTTATGTAATGCCACTGCTTTCATCAGGTCCTTCCTTTGGGCTGGCAAGTAAGTTCTTACCCATGTTTATAAGGAGAAAAATATATTCTGTCTGTACTGATTAACTCTATAACAGCTGTGTAAAGCCACCAAGAAATCTCTTATAGAATGTGTAGCTGAAGTTGTGAGAAATTGAAAAGTTAGGAGGAGAGTATACTTGGGACAGACAAAAAGAGAACACAGAGCAACTGAAGAAATGAGAAGGTGGAAATTATATGACCATGATTACTGAGGTAGAAAAGGTAGTGAAGTATGCATCTGTCTCTTGTCAAAATTATCAGATATAGCTTGGCAGAGAGTTAGTCATGAAGAAATTGTTAGGGACTATGTTTAGAGTAATTGCATGAGAAAAATTAGGGGAGTCAGAATGGAGATGAGTGGTACTGTCTTCAGTACCTCAATGAGATGATGTATTCCTTAGTACTTCAAAGGCCTATGTTAGACTTCTTTCTGCCTTTTTTAATTGTGTATTTTCTAACCTGTGAATATGTAAAATTGCTGCATAGAGCTCAGGCCTCAATTTTACTTAGGTTGTTTTCTGTGCTGATGGGGTGACATGAGGTTCTCATTTTGGGAAAACAATATGGGTCACACAGTATCATCTCTCCCTTCTCGGGCAGAAGGAATGACAGCTGGCTGCAGCTCCCAGGGTTTGCGTAGGGTTCTGCAGAGCTGCTTCTCAACATGGCAAGGACGGTTATTTTTCTGTTAAGTTGAGATCTGATTATTCCTCCTACTGGAGTTCTTTTCAAAAACTAATAGAGAAGAACTGAGGATGAAGAAGTGATCTTTGTGGTGTTATTCTGCAGCTGCTACTATTTGGATGTCACCTGCCTTCATAGTGCTTAGATTGTACACCCGATAACATAGGTTGACAGTGACGTTTATTCCTTGATATAATTATGAAACCTTTTAAAACTCATCCTCCTAGTAAAAAAACAGGATTTACAGTGGAAAAGTTGATTGTGTGTTTAAATAAATCTGTTTTTAAAACGTTGCTAGATAATGAATGACTGCACTGTCTCAAGGGAAAAGAATTCTGGCTTTTACTCCTGAAATACCTAGTCTCTGTCTCTTTTTATTAGTTAATTGGGAGGTGGCAATTGCAGGTCTATTACCAGGCTTTGATTTTTATCTAGACCGGAAAGCATGCACACTTTATATAAACTACTCCGCATATAGCGCTAAATTTTTTTTAAATTAGTGAAAAGATGGTAATGCTATTGCATGAATGAAGCTGGAATAAACACCAGAATTTAAATCTGAGAGAGCTATAATTATTGTCCAGCTGGTGTTGCCAGCCAACTCTGTGGTGGCTCCATCTGGTGGCAGAGAGGAGAGCAAGCTCTCGTGTTATTTGTCAGAGCCCACATGTCCTTTTTTTGTCTTCTGATGCTAGATATACTACTGGACATATCTGGGCATGTCCACCTAGTGAAGGAGATGACTACATCTTCCATTGCCATCCTCCTGACCAAAAGATACCCAAACCCAAGCGACTGCAAGAGTGGTACAAAAAGATGCTGGACAAATCTGTCTCAGAGCGCATTGTCCATGATTACAAGGTTTGTTAAGTGTATGTTTTTACTGGGGGGGTGGGGAGGGGAGGGGATAGTTTTACCAGTCTTTTCTTGCTTTATTCCTTGCCTTATGTATTGTGCCTTATTCTTGGAGTTTACTGTGTTAGTTTTAAATGAATTGAGCACTAAAAGTTTAGAGTTAAAATACATCCTCTAAATGGCATGTAGCTTCTGAAATTGTTCTAGCAAGAGATTTGAAATTATTCCTTAGAACAAACTAAATTCTTGAGGAATACTGCAAAAATCACAGAATGTTGGGGATTGGAAGGG